TATATTATATTATAATATAAACATATTATTAATAAAGTCATTAATAACTAATATATCAATAAATAATAATTGTAGACCAAGATATTTCTCTAAACCTGACTTTTCTCAACACACTTAAAATAGTAAGGAATTTAATGATTATAGAATATAATTTTTTATTTATTATTAATGGTTTATCATTACTCAATAATAAATTAATATTATTATAGTATATCAATATTGCTAATATATCAATTTATTGATATGATATAGTATAATTAAGATAGTATTAATAATATTATTGGTTAATAAATACTTAATCTATAAGTGAGTAACAATTAATAATATTAATCTATCGTTAAGTATTAATTAAGTATCTATTACCCCTAACATTATTATTACAATCATCGTTATATTATATTATAATATAAACATATTATTAATAAAGTCATTAATAACTAATATATCAATAAATAATAATGGAGATTATTTAATATATTTTAATTACAAAATATTAATATATAACTATTGTTTAATTATAAATGATAACTTTCTTATTTTTTATTTATGAATTTTAAATATCAATATCTTTGTACAACTGACTTGGAAGCGCAAATATTTACATTGTCTCACATTCTGTCTTTGTCTTGCCTTCATGTCGTAGAGTCAGACGTCTGTGCACGCCAGTGCTGCGGGCAGCAGCGCTCATTCGTGATGCACTTGACTGACAACGCCGGCCAAGAGGTGGCGCGGTGTTTTCGCGACTTCCACTTCTGCCCAGGATTGTGCTGCTGTTACTGCTGCTTTTGCTGTTGCTGCATACACCAGAACGATGCCGACTCTGGTCGATCAGGCGTCCGTAGTTCCGAGAACCCGACAACTACCATACCCCCTTCATCGTCGGTGTCGGGAGGCGTGAAGAAGTCACATCATCTCGTAGCCTCCAGAATAGAGCAGAGTAGCGGTGAGATTAAGAAAAAAGAGCGGGACAACGAGTTGAGTCAGTCGCATCCTTTCGTCAAGGAGCCGTTCTTCGAGGGAAACCGAAAAGATGATTCGAAAGAAAAGGGAGATTTTGCAGCTACTTCTGGTGAGCTCAACTGCTATATTTCTCATTTTTAGGCTTCGATAATTCTAGTAGATCTTGATACATAGTTGTCATACAGACCCATGCACCCATGCGCGCACACACACACACTAAGATTTTCCTAGCTTATCAGTAGATCATGATCAAAAACTATGGATAGCTTAGAACAGTGATTCCCAAACGCCTCTTTACAGGCACGCCGCGAAGTATTGAAAAAGCTTCATAATTAATTGAACCCAGACATTTGGCCTAACCAAAAAAAA